TTGCCAGGGACCGTACTTCGTAACATCTAAACGTTTTAGCATAAGTTTAAAATCAGAGATTCAATGAGATAGAAAAGAGTTCTTGTTAACTGATAATTCATAATAACCAATCTCATTATATGTCATCACAACTGTATATACATACACACCAAGTGATCATAATTAAAGTACCCCTACTCAACACTGTCTAGAAATACATTTAACAGTCCAAATGCAACCAAATCTGGTATGGTAACATTTCAAGACACGCAAAAGGAATTTCCATTTAAAAAATTAACACAATACATTGCCTTTGACACCAAAAACAATAAACAAGCAATTTCTTTTGCATAAGTACACAAACATGTTGCAGTTAAAAGTTTTGAGTGTAAAAATGGCTACAGCTATTGAATGTCACTCTGATCACTATGATAATGATTACCTTGTTTTATAACACAGCTTCATTTGTTTTGAAATGGTTTTAAAACAACTTCATAAATGCATTTCCTGGCAATGATAATATTCTGATAATGGAAAACAATGGTAATGCTGCAACTGTACTTTAGCATTTTGTGTTGTAAAAATTTACACCAAGGATATGTCAAGGTTGTGGAAGATCCTTGGGGCAACAAGGGTCATTTTCACCTCAGTGGAACAGTAAACACCTCTAATTGTCATATGTAGGTCATGGAAAAACCATGTTTTTCAACAGATTCAAAAAAAGCATGGTCCAAAACATGTCACAGGTCCAAAGGGACCTGTGACATGTTTTGCAATGGCACAGAAATACTGAGAGATGCTCAACACTTTTGTTATACTGCAACTACAATGCCTTGAGTCAACCATTGACATGCAAGATAAATCATCTTCGTAACTGAACATATTATACAGTAGTCTCTGCACTGATAAGTGATTAGTCATACACTTCCTACAATCTGGCTACTTTGTTTTCTAGATTTTTCATTGTGGGGACACTTAAAAGTATAGTTTATCAACGACATGCTACAAATCTAGCAGCCATAAAAGACATTATCACATTGCACATGAGAAGCAGAACAAAGGAATTGGCCATCGAACACATTGTTCATGACCTTCAGACTTTACACCAGAATAGGAACCACATTACAGTATCCCTTGTATCACTAATATCTCTCTCTGTATGGCTCAAAATTGCCATAGTGGAAAGTTTCATTCCTAATTCTTTTTTACAAAAATGTCTTTTACTTATCATAAAAATTCACTATACCAGATTTGGACTAATAAATCACTCTCCAGATAGCACTGAATAAAAGTACTTTAATTACAATCATCTAGTATATGAAGATTAAATAAATATAAATAACATTAAAAAACTTAATCAATGGTAAGACAAGAATTTAAACATCTGATATTATATATTTCCATAATTACAGTAAAATCTCACTTTGTGGCCACCCATGAAATTTCCTTGTAGAACTGAAATATAAATCAAACTCTATCTTGGTGGTCACCAGCCATCTCGCTTGAGTAGCCAAGACAGAAGCATCCTAAAATGATGTTTATCCCCATTTACATGGCCAACAGACAGGAAAATCCTGTGTTCCTAAATTCAATGCATTGTTTAAAGTACTTTAAATCAAATTAAACTTTGTAACAAGAAATTGTATACCTCAAAAGTGGCCAGATAAGAGAGGTTTTACTATATTTAATTTTATGTAGTTAATTTTTTGAAAGTGAAAACTTCATTATATGCATTGTAAATACTGATTTCATCTTTCATTTCTTATAATCATTGAAAAACTTATTGAAATAATTAAATTGATATATTGAACAGATTTCACAATATCACAACAATTTGAAATCATCTAAAATTTAAAAAAATTCAATGTTGTCATTGAAATAGTAATTACTTTAATCTTTTAAAATGAAAATTTCTTCAAAGCTATATTAAAAAGATATTGTTCTAACATATAACATCATCCCTTATGTTTTGATACTAAGCCAAAACAATCACCGTTAATAATCAGGCTATGCTATATTTAATAATTAGATACTAAGTAATTTGGTACTAGAGGTAGATGTTAGGTGCCATCTCTTAACTAAATTAATAATTATAATAATTTAGAAAAATCTAAAAGAAAAGAACTAGCCTGGAGCACCTAACGTCTACCTGTAGTGCCAAATTACTTAGCATCTAATTATTAAACATAGCATAATAATATTCCTATTATTAACAGCAATCATTTGGCTTAGTATATCGTTCTAGGCCAGGGATGGCAAACCTTTTTGTGTTTGTGTGCCATATTGTAAGCATACTTAGCTTTAAAGATGTTTATGCGTGCCAAAGTTTCAGACTTCGAATAACGATATTTAAAGAAATTAAACGAATACGCTTTAATTAGAATAAATGTAAAAAAGCTGATTGAAAAAAGGATTATCAGGTGATAAACAAAAAAGATGAGTGAAAAAGACATTACGTGCCAGATAATTTCTCCTTACGTGCCACCTTGGGCACGCGTAACATAGGTTCACCACCTCTGTTCTAGTCAATACAATTTTCTTTTAATTTATACAGTATGATGTATGACATTTTGAGTATAATTTTTTTAAAATACATTCTATATACTGATTTGAACTTTTTAACTTTTACCTTCATGTTTTTATAAGGTAACAAAATAAATGAGCCATTGCAAATGAAAGTAGTTTAAATTCATTAAAAAAAAATTGAGTTAATGATGACATTAATTAGAATTCTATGCAATCTTTTTATAAAGCATAAGACAAAAAAACATAATATCAACATATTACCAGTTACTGATATTCTTGAATCAATACAAATGTAATCCTTTAAATATCTTGATTTAAAAATAGATTTAAACCACTTTCATTTGCAACAGATCAAATGTTAGCCTATACTTGAATATGGCATTTCCTATATATTGTGTATAATTTTAATATGAAAAATTTACAACTGACAACTTCAATTATGATCCGTTATAAAATATAGAACATTTACAATGAGAAATATTAAATTTTGAATGTTTTCATAAACTGTTAAGAAAAAAACAATTCTCAAATATCTACCAAATGTAATAAAGTGAACCCCTGTACAATACAGGCAATACGTTCCAAATTATAGATATCAACTCGATAAAATAGAACAAATTTTGGTTTATTAGGCCCACACCAAATAATAGTTGTAACGAGAAAACTGCATTATATTGATACAAACCATGTGTTATGTACTGTACGTTATGTAAACTTTGAGTGTGATCTAACAGCAGAACAGCCAATAATTTAGAAACACATTTTATGAATATTGACTAGTATAATGCATTATATGAGGATCCACTGTATTTAATATCTAATATCTATACCAAGGATTTTCATAAGAGCCAGGTGCCCCATGAAAGAAAGCTTGGGGTAATATATAAAACAAATAGTCAAAGATTAAGACTTTTTAAAATTCTGAATAACAACATAAATCAATGCAACTTCTTTTTCAAAAGATAGTCATCAAAATTAGGAATATATTTTGTAGTACACATTATTAAAATCTTGTTTAGATATTCATTGAATGGTGACGTTCAATATTTTGATTTTATATACCGTATTATATTTTGTAAAAGTTTGTTCACAAAGTTACATAAAACTACTTAAGACTTAATATTCTCCTCTGGAGGAGATTTGTAAACATTTAACAAGAGCTCTTCTTTAAATAGGTTTTTATAAAAATCATTTACAGGAAGGTTCATAAATTCTAGTTAGCTTTTCAAAAGTTTATAGTGAGCTAGTTCGAATGTTTATGATAAAATGAGCCGTGAGGACTGGATAAATATGCTTCAGGAGCCATATTTGACCTTTTAGCCACAGGTTAGAGATCCCCACTCTATACATTCTAATTCAAGCCTGACAGACATAACAAATAGTGCATTCTAGAATCATAAATTTCAACATTAACTTAATTAATATATTTTATAATATAATAATTTATAAATGCTAAAATTATGAGCAAAATTTATATATTATTAAAATTAATCAAATACTTAAAAGACTTAACAAATATTATAATTAGATGTAAAAATTAGTTTTTTCCTCTCCCCTTTTTTTTATGTATGTAACTAACTACACTAGAACAAACAACCTAATAAGTAGCAGTAATGAACTAATGATACGTTAATTAAGAACTTTAAATAATAATAAAAGTTTTAAAATGTCATAATTAGCACATAATAAAATCATGGGCAATTATGATTTATTTGTTAAAAGACTCTTATCAGATTAATCAGTTCTTACTGATGGCTCATCAACATTTACTTTTATATATAAATAAAATGCATCTGTAAAGGTTATACGCTTTGTAGATGATTTCATTTGTTTTTTTATGTAGCAAGGAAACATTAACTCATTGTTTACGATTGTAGTGATTCATTCATTATCTTACCCTTACAAACAGTACAAAGAACTATTTTCTAACAATTTTATTTGTTTGTTTTTCTGCCATTTTCTATGTTTAATTGTTTATTTATATATTCTTTTTTCCCCCCTTACTTTATGCAAAACAATTAGATAATTGAACAATTCCAATCTAAAGAAAATTATCATAAAGCATAGGTTATGTTGAGTCTATTTCAGCCTTGCATCAATCATGTTATGATTCATCTTCAGTCCTTATCTCTTAAAAAGCTAAAGACTGACATATTTGTATTTTGTTTATCATTCTCATTCTTCATTTAAGTAAGATAAATGTTTTAGAAAACTGCAATCTCATCACGTAGGCTGTTTTGAAATATCAAAATTACATTATCATATCTGAATGAATTAATAATTTCAAGAACAATCGAGCAAAAACTTTCTTGTCGATATCTTTCTCGTTGATTTTATAATTCTTCTATTTATATTAACCGAATAAATCGGAATAAATAATAAATTTAAAAACGACACTCGGTACACGAGTTGCAGACTTCATTTTTTTTTTAAACGAGTTTCTTATTATCGTACGATTTTATATCAAAAAATAAAAACTGCAATATAACACTTACCGTTATCAGAGAACCGAACAGCAGCAGTAATTCTGTTTTTCTTTAGTCGGTGTGTAATTCATTTCTCGGACTATTTCGGCAAAAACCTCGTTAACATTGCACTTATTTTTGGCAGAAGATTCCATAAACGGGCAGCCCCACAACTGTGCCAACCCCATTCCTTCCACGGGGGTGACCTCTCTCAGATTGTCCAGATCCATCTTGTTTCCGACTAGTAAAATCGGCACGCGATCCGTGTTCTTCACACGCATGATCTGTTCCTTCATGTTTTTGATGTCCTGGAACGTCTGGTGATTCGTGATGCTGTAGACGACCACGAAACCCTGGCCGTTCTTGATGTAGAGATCTCTCATGGAGGCGAACTGTTCGGTACCCGCGGTATCCAGTATCTCCAAGACGCAGGGCGCCGAATCCACCTCTATCTCCTTGCGGTAGAAGTCCTCTATGGTGGGGTCGTACTTCTCCATGAACATGCCGGAGACGAACTGGACCGTCAGGGCGCTCTTGCCCACTCCTCCGCTTCCCAGGACCACCACTTTAAACTCTCTCATCTCGGTTTCCGAGGGCGCCGCTAGGGGGATTATTACCTTCCTTTGACACACACACACGCACCACAAGAAAACGGATTCTAGATTATTAAATCCGTGTAAAAAAATCTATTATAAAACGAGAAAATTAAATAAATTTACGAATTATCTCGTCAAATACTCACGAATACGAGTCGAAGGCCAAGTTTTGAGGTCGTTGAAAAATAACAAATCCCAACCCAAAGCAAGATTAGTCAGTCAGCAGCTAGGCCTAATATCAAATCATTTCATAACGTTTTTTCCTAAAAAAACTTGCCACTACCGCGATAATTCTAAGTTCAAATCATTAACAGAGACTAAGAGACTTAACGTCAACACGATAAAATACTTAAAATTCTTCTACGAACACTTAAATCCATCTTTTCTTGCGGAGACTAAAGGCGACCAACCCAACAGCAGATAATAGGAAGTGCTTCTGACTGATATGTCGTTTGGCAAAAATTTACCTCGCCTTAAATTCGTCGACGATGATTTTATTATTTCTTTACTCGACGACAGAAGTAATTTTATGATAAAATGAGAAAGAAGTATTACGACTTTTTTTCCATTTCGGGAATCCGGATGACGTAACTTCCCGTCACGTGGTCGCCGCACGCATTTGTCAATACGCAGTAAATAACGGACTGGGTATCGATTAACGCCACGAGAAACGATTTAATTATTCAGTTTTTTGTTTTTTGTTTTGTTTTTTCCTCTTTTAAATTCCTAAAGTCGCGGTCAGGATATATACGGATAAGCCGTTTAGTCATTTTTCGCGGAAAGGAAAAACGTCGCCGTCGATGCACGCGCGTCGACGATAAGGTCACCCACTTGCCCCGGGAAACGTTGACACTTTTCGTACATTTTTCCGACTTTAATTAAACTTATCCATTATAAATTTTTCTTTCCTTTTTTCCGTATCGATCTGTAAAACGAGCCACTCGCTTCCGGTCATCGGCTAACCGGAAACGGTCGTCGAACCCGCATCCATTTTTAAAGTTTGAATGTAACCCAGCGAGATGGCGAGAAAAGGAAACCGAAAATGACGAGAATACGGAATTTCCTCCGAAATAAAACAAAAAAAAAAAAAAAAAAAAAAAAAAAAAAAAAAAAAAAAAAAAAAAAAAAAAAAAAAAAAAAAAAAAAAAAAAAAAAAAAAAAAAAAAAAAAAAAAAAAAAAAAAAAAAAAAAAAAAAAAAAAAAAAAAAAAAAAAAAAAAAAAAAAAAAAAAAAAAAAAAAAAAAAAAAAAAAAAAAAAAAAAAAAAAAAAAAAAAAAAAAAAAAAAAAAAAAAAAAAAAAAAAAAAAAAAAAAAAAAAAAAAAAAAAAAAAAAAAAAAAAAAAAAAAAAAAAAAAAAAAAAAAAAAAAAAAAAAAAAAAAAAAAAAAAAAAAAAAAAAAAAAAAAAAAAAAAAAAAAAAAAAAAAAAAAAAAAAAAAAAAAAAAAAAAAAAAAAAAAAAAAAAAAAAAAAAAAAAAAAAAAAAAAAAAAAAAAAAAAAAAAAAAAAAAAAAAAAAAAAAAAAAAAAAAAAAAAAAAAAAAAAAAAAAAAAAAAAAAAAAAAAAAAAAAAAAAAAAAAAAAAAAAAAAAAAAAAAAAAAAAAAAAAAAAAAAAAAAAAAAAAAAAAAAAAAAAAAAAAAAAAAAAAAAAAAAAAAAAAAAAAAAAAAAAAAAAAAAAAAAAAAAAAAAAAAAAAAAAAAAAAAAAAAAAAAAAAAAAAAAAAAAAAAAAAAAAAAAAAAAAAAAAAAAAAAAAAAAAAAAAAAAAAAAAAAAAAAAAAAAAAAAAAAAAAAAAAAAAAAAAAAAAAAAAAAAAAAAAAAAAAAAAAAAAAAAAAAAAAAAAAAAAAAAAAAAAAAAAAAAAAAAAAAAAAAAAAAAAAAAAAAAAAAAAAAAAAAAAAAAAAAAAAAAAAAAAAAAAAAAAAAAAAAAAAAAAAAAAAAAAAAAAAAAAAAAAAAAAAAAAAAAAAAAAAAAAAAAAAAAAAAAAAAAAAAAAAAAAAAAAAAAAAAAAAAAAAAAAAAAAAAAAAAAAAAAAAAAAAAAAAAAAAAAAAAAAAAAAAAAAAAAAAAAAAAAAAAAAAAAAAAAAAAAAAAAAAAAAAAAAAAAAAAAAAAAAAAAAAAAAAAAAAAAAAAAAAAAAAAAAAAAAAAAAAAAAAAAAAAAAAAAAAAAAAAAAAAAAAAAAAAAAAAAAAAAAAAAAAAAAAAAAAAAAAAAAAAAAAAAAAAAAAAAAAAAAAAAAAAAAAAAAAAAAAAAAAAAAAAAAAAAAAAAAAAAAAAAAAAAAAAAAAAAAAAAAAAAAAAAAAAAAAAAAAAAAAAAAAAAAAAAAAAAAAAAAAAAAAAAAAAAAAAAAAAAAAAAAAAAAAAAAAAAAAAAAAAAAAAAAAAAAAAAAAAAAAAAAAAAAAAAAAAAAAAAAAAAAAAAAAAAAAAAAAAAAAAAAAAAAAAAAAAAAAAAAAAAAAAAAAAAAAAAAAAAAAAAAAAAAAAAAAAAAAAAAAAAAAAAAAAAAAAAAAAAAAAAAAAAAAAAAAAAAAAAAAAAAAAAAAAAAAAAAAAAAAAAAAAAAAAAAAAAAAAAAAAAAAAAAAAAAAAAAAAAAAAAAAAAAAAAAAAAAAAAAAAAAAAAAAAAAAAAAAAAAAAAAAAAAAAAAAAAAAAAAAAAAAAAAAAAAAAAAAAAAAAAAAAAAAAAAAAAAAAAAAAAAAAAAAAAAAAAAAAAAAAAAAAAAAAAAAAAAAAAAAAAAAAAAAAAAAAAAAAAAAAAAAAAAAAAAAAAAAAAAAAAAAAAAAAAAAAAAAAAAAAAAAAAAAAAAAAAAAAAAAAAAAAAAAAAAAAAAAAAAAAAAAAAAAAAAAAAAAAAAAAAAAAAAAAAAAAAAAAAAAAAAAAAAAAAAAAAAAAAAAAAAAAAAAAAAAAAAAAAAAAAAAAAAAAAAAAAAAAAAAAAAAAAAAAAAAAAAAAAAAAAAAAAAAAAAAAAAAAAAAAAAAAAAAAAAAAAAAAAAAAAAAAAAAAAAAAAAAAAAAAAAAAAAAAAAAAAAAAAAAAAAAAAAAAAAAAAAAAAAAAAAAAAAAAAAAAAAAAAAAAAAAAAAAAAAAAAAAAAAAAAAAAAAAAAAAAAAAAAAAAAAAAAAAAAAAAAAAAAAAAAAAAAAAAAAAAAAAAAAAAAAAAAAAAAAAAAAAAAAAAAAAAAAAAAAAAAAAAAAAAAAAAAAAAAAAAAAAAAAAAAAAAAAAAAAAAAAAAAAAAAAAAAAAAAAAAAAAAAAAAAAAAAAAAAAAAAAAAAAAAAAAAAAAAAAAAAAAAAAAAAAAAAAAAAAAAAAAAAAAAAAAAAAAAAAAAAAAAAAAAAAAAAAAAAAAAAAAAAAAAAAAAAAAAAAAAAAAAAAAAAAAAAAAAAAAAAAAAAAAAAAAAAAAAAAAAAAAAAAAAAAAAAAAAAAAAAAAAAAAAAAAAAAAAAAAAAAAAAAAAAAAAAAAAAAAAAAAAAAAAAAAAAAAAAAAAAAAAAAAAAAAAAAAAAAAAAAAAAAAAAAAAAAAAAAAAAAAAAAAAAAAAAAAAAAAAAAAAAAAAAAAAAAAAAAAAAAAAAAAAAAAAAAAAAAAAAAAAAAAAAAAAAAAAAAAAAAAAAAAAAAAAAAAAAAAAAAAAAAAAAAAAAAAAAAAAAAAAAAAAAAAAAAAAAAAAAAAAAAAAAAAAAAAAAAAAAAAAAAAAAAAAAAAAAAAAAAAAAAAAAAAAAAAAAAAAAAAAAAAAAAAAAAAAAAAAAAAAAAAAAAAAAAAAAAAAAAAAAAAAAAAAAAAAAAAAAAAAAAAAAAAAAAAAAAAAAAAAAAAAAAAAAAAAAAAAAAAAAAAAAAAAAAAAAAAAAAAAAAAAAAAAAAAAAAAAAAAAAAAAAAAAAAAAAAAAAAAAAAAAAAAAAAAAAAAAAAAAAAAAAAAAAAAAAAAAAAAAAAAAAAAAAAAAAAAAAAAAAAAAAAAAAAAAAAAAAAAAAAAAAAAAAAAAAAAAAAAAAAAAAAAAAAAAAAAAAAAAAAAAAAAAAAAAAAAAAAAAAAAAAAAAAAAAAAAAAAAAAAAAAAAAAAAAAAAAAAAAAAAAAAAAAAAAAAAAAAAAAAAAAAAAAAAAAAAAAAAAAAAAAAAAAAAAAAAAAAAAAAAAAAAAAAAAAAAAAAAAAAAAAAAAAAAAAAAAAAAAAAAAAAAAAAAAAAAAAAAAAAAAAAAAAAAAAAAAAAAAAAAAAAAAAAAAAAAAAAAAAAAAAAAAAAAAAAAAAAAAAAAAAAAAAAAAAAAAAAAAAAAAAAAAAAAAAAAAAAAAAAAAAAAAAAAAAAAAAAAAAAAAAAAAAAAAAAAAAAAAAAAAAAAAAAAAAAAAAAAAAAAAAAAAAAAAAAAAAAAAAAAAAAAAAAAAAAAAAAAAAAAAAAAAAAAAAAAAAAAAAAAAAAAAAAAAAAAAAAAAAAAAAAAAAAAAAAAAAAAAAAAAAAAAAAAAAAAAAAAAAAAAAAAAAAAAAAAAAAAAAAAAAAAAAAAAAAAAAAAAAAAAAAAAAAAAAAAAAAAAAAAAAAAAAAAAAAAAAAAAAAAAAAAAAAAAAAAAAAAAAAAAAAAAAAAAAAAAAAAAAAAAAAAAAAAAAAAAAAAAAAAAAAAAAAAAAAAAAAAAAAAAAAAAAAAAAAAAAAAAAAAAAAAAAAAAAAAAAAAAAAAAAAAAAAAAAAAAAAAAAAAAAAAAAAAAAAAAAAAAAAAAAAAAAAAAAAAAAAAAAAAAAAAAAAAAAAAAAAAAAAAAAAAAAAAAAAAAAAAAAAAAAAAAAAAAAAAAAAAAAAAAAAAAAAAAAAAAAAAAAAAAAAAAAAAAAAAAAAAAAAAAAAAAAAAAAAAAAAAAAAAAAAAAAAAAAAAAAAAAAAAAAAAAAAAAAAAAAAAAAAAAAAAAAAAAAAAAAAAAAAAAAAAAAAAAAAAAAAAAAAAAAAAAAAAAAAAAAAAAAAAAAAAAAAAAAAAAAAAAAAAAAAAAAAAAAAAAAAAAAAAAAAAAAAAAAAAAAAAAAAAAAAAAAAAAAAAAAAAAAAAAAAAAAAAAAAAAAAAAAAAAAAAAAAAAAAAAAAAAAAAAAAAAAAAAAAAAAAAAAAAAAAAAAAAAAAAAAAAAAAAAAAAAAAAAAAAAAAAAAAAAAAAAAAAAAAAAAAAAAAAAAAAAAAAAAAAAAAAAAAAAAAAAAAAAAAAAAAAAAAAAAAAAAAAAAAAAAAAAAAAAAAAAAAAAAAAAAAAAAAAAAAAAAAAAAAAAAAAAAAAAAAAAAAAAAAAAAAAAAAAAAAAAAAAAAAAAAAAAAAAAAAAAAAAAAAAAAAAAAAAAAAAAAAAAAAAAAAAAAAAAAAAAAAAAAAAAAAAAAAAAAAAAAAAAAAAAAAAAAAAAAAAAAAAAAAAAAAAAAAAAAAAAAAAAAAAAAAAAAAAAAAAAAAAAAAAAAAAAAAAAAAAAAAAAAAAAAAAAAAAAAAAAAAAAAAAAAAAAAAAAAAAAAAAAAAAAAAAAAAAAAAAAAAAAAAAAAAAAAAAAAAAAAAAAAAAAAAAA